ACAAGCATGACATGGAGTATTTTGAAAATGCCTATGATCATTAATAAAAAGGTAAAAGACTATGGACCCCACGGAGAACAACAAGGCTTGGGTGACCAAAACAACGGTGCCATGTCTCGAGATCAAATGGTGCCTTGGTGTGTCGACACACCATATGGTGCCTACGATATGCTTTCTAAATGGTGCAGACGACACACCGCTAACATATTTTCGAAGTTAAAATGATATTTATGTTTCTTCTTTCACTCTATCATGAAGTTTACTCTTTTATTTTCATTCTTTTTTGTTTATACAAATAAATAATATAATATATACGTTGTCCATCTCTAATTAAAAGAGAATTTTGCAAAACATAATATTTTTTTAAAGAACATTACAAAAAATGAAAAATAGAAAAATAAAAAACTCAGTATGAAGTGAAACAAAAAGATTTGAAAAAGGTAATGAAAAAGAAATAAAAAATAAAAAACTTTTTTTTGTTTCAAGCAAAAGTAAAATAAAAAATAAAATAAATAAACATATTCTCACTCTGTCATTAAAAATTTAAATAGATTTATTTTTCAAAATTAAGAGTTTTTTTTGAGACTTTAAAAAATGAAGACCCTATTAAAAATCACAGGGGATTTCAAAATAATTTTTAAAAATAGATGTGGTTTATAAACTACGAGGTCACACATGCTCCTACACCATTAATAAAATGAAACAATGTAATTGATGGTCCGATGGATATGGGAAAAGAAATTGAAACACTGGAAGGAGAGTAACAAAATGTCTTAAGGTCCGTTTGGTACACGGAATTGACAGAATTAGAATTAGATTAGGAGTTGAAATTCTATGAGACTCCATTTGCCACACGAAATTCAAATTATGAAATTGGATTTGGGATAACAACTCCAATTTTAATGTTTGGTAGCACAAAAATATGTAGATTTGAAATTGGTAGTGCCAAAAATGAATTGGAATTGGAAAATTTAATTCCATCCCAATCAATTCCATAGGTTTTAACTTCCAATTTCATCAATTTCGTATACCAAACAACCTTGAAGTTGATTTGGATGGAATTGGATACTCTAATTCCAATTCATTTTCGCACTACCGATTCCAAACCCACATATTTTTGTGCTACCAAACAAAAATATTAAAATTATTGTCTCTAATTCTAATTCCATAGTTCAAATTTCGTATTTCAAACGTAGCTTTAAACTAAAAGGTTGAATGGAAATATGGAATTACCCTCATACGTTTGTCGTCTGCTTTATCACCACGTTTTAGGTTGATGCGCCCAACGGCAAATAGAATTCCGGGAACGTATCCAAAGACAGTGCACAAAATGCAAACCCAAAAATAACCCTGGATTTATCACAAATAAGACATCAAAAGTATATAATTTTTCTGTCCCAGCGTGGTCATCAAGTTTGAAATTTTCTTAGGTAAATGAGATGAATTTTAGACCTCAATTAAAAAAAATCATAATGTATATTAGCATAAAAAATAATTCCATTAAATTTATGCTAAGTTGCATCGTTTATCCTTTAAGTTATTGCGTCATGCACAGTTAGTCTTTCAAATTCAAAAAATTTTAGAATAGTCCTTCAAGTCATGTTTGCGTTGCATGGTTGTTCCTAATTTAGTTAATTTTATCGTTAGTCTACGCATTTTTTTCTATTTTTCATTATAAATACATGTGAGAAATCCTCTCTTTTTCATAAAATCTAACTATATTTAAAGTAAATTCCATAATTAGTCTTTTATAACGGGGGGTTTCCATATTCAATCCTTTATTATCAAATATTACCCATGTAGTCCTTTTTTTAAGGGCGCCTTTCCACAAATGGTCCTTGTTTTGATCTTATGTCATGTTGGTGTTAATTTAAAGGCTAAAAGTATAATTTGACATCAACATTATGTCTAGTGACGTGTTCCGATATTGGTTAAGCGGATAACACAAAAATAATGACTATGATTGTGGGCTAGGATTCCGATGAAAGACCACATTTGTAGACTATGGTTGTAGTAGAAAACGATTGTAATTTACAAACGACGCAAACGGAACAACCTTTGGAATTGTGTATGACAAAAAATATATATATTATTATTGTGAAATTACACTTTTAGCCTTCAAATTAACACCAACATAGTAGAAGATCAAGAAAAGGACTATTTGTGGAAAGATACTCATAAAAGAAGGACCACTGGGGTAATATTTGATAATAGAGGACTAAATAGGGACATTCCCATTTATAAAGGGTCAATTATGGAATTTACTCCTATATTTAATATATGTCCGTTTTAAATTAATAATAAGTCACTTTTTAATTTTTTTAGTCTAGTTTTTTTGATAATAATAAGTTACTTTTGATTTTATTAGTCTAATTTTTTTTTGAAAAAATACTCACACCTTTTTAAGAGATTTATCAAATTCTGACTTTTACAGGTTTGATTTTTGACTTATAGTTTTAATTAAAAATATTAGAATTACATGAATTATGCCTCGATTATATGAAAAAGAGAGAGTTCCTCGTAAGTATTTATAATTAAAAATAAAAAATGTACGGACTAATAAAAAACAAACGGGAGGGCGAACCATGCAAAGCGGACTTTACTTGAAGAAATATTCGTAAAATTTTCAAAGTTCAAAGACAAGTCGTACATGATGCAATAACTTGAAAGAAGTATTTTATCCCTAGATTTACTTTCTCAAAAAGTTTTAAAATATAATTTTATTATATTAATAAGGGGCATACTAGGGGTATACTAAAATGAGTTATCCCATTTGTAAATCAGACAAATTTTTAAAAAAACACAGACACACAGTGTATGCGTTTGCCTGATATATAATTTGAACGTAATTGATAATTAAAATTCGTTTAACTTTGAAGAATCAAATTATAGGGGGGGGGGGGTAAGAGAGTAGTAAGGTACCCCGCACTTTTCGTAATTAAAGACAGCCAAAGGGGGCAATACGATAGCCAGGACGATTTCCGCCCATTAGGGCAATTCCCATAGTTGAGTCATTTTCTGCGAGAAGAATGAAATATATTCCCCTCTTCTCCCTGGTATTGGCTAAATAAACCCGACCCGGCCCTTTAATTAACTAACAAGGATGGTGTTAGATTAACTAAAGAGATCCAAATCTGCTAAGATTATTTACTGGTAGTAATTAACGAATTTGCGAATTGCGATTTGATTTATTTATAGGCCCGCGATACAAATATTCGAATGCAACGTTAGCTGTCTAAAAGAATGACAGCTGGCAAATAATACAGGTATGGGTTATAGGGCAAATGCAAGTCAATAATACGGAGTATGAGATTATAGAATTCTGTCTCTCTTTCAAAATATTTTATACTTTATGCAAAACAAAGTAATTTTACATTCTTTAAGTTTACTTTATTTGAACATTGGTATAAAAATTTAAAATAAAACTTACATATTTAAAAATTAAATCAAAAGTCTTACAAAAAAAAGAGATGATATGAGTGTTTTATTTAATCAAATAACTAATCAAAACGCTCAACTTAACAATTATTTTCGTGACTTCTGAATAGTGAAGAGTGTAATTCTTTTTGTGACGGAGGGAGTATTTCGTACGTTAAAGAGTAAAGACCATGTGTTCTAATTAAAGGCTAAACGTTGATCCCGATTAATTGCTAAAAATTGGAACTGGACAAATACTCTAACACGGAAGGAGTGGTTTCAAGCAATAGAAATCACCCTAAATAGGACTAAAACATAGAGAAAAGTACCAAAATAGGACTTTCATGTTTTTTTTTCCGAAATAAGACTTTGCACTGTGGTAATGTGACACTGTACATGTGCACATTACTATATTTTTTTGGTAATGTACATGACCATGTTTGGTAATGTAAGTCCTATTTTGGGAATAAAAATATTGAAGTCCTATTTTGGTATATTTTCAATGTTTTAGCCCTACTTTGGTCTTTCTCCCTTCAAGAAATGCGATTCTTTTGACAAAATCCATATTTCTTGACCTTCAAAGTTTTGAATAAGAAATGTTTGGTGAATTGACTAGTATAAATTGGTGGGCCTCTAGTATCACTCAAAGTTTTATACTCTTATTCTTTGCTTCTTCACTCATCCACTTATTCTCGTTAATCGGAAAAAATGACCGGTGAGTGTTGCACAAATGACAAGAGAATAAGTGCGAAAGAGATAATACTCGAGTTCGAATCTAGCAATTGTTGTTATGAACGATGAGGTCCGGGAACAAATGGACGTAACAGGTAGTGGGGATATGAACCACGAGGATACGGAACGCAACATTGACAATGAGGTGGTTCAGGTCGAGGAAGCCGAGGGTGTGCATGCGGACGTAGAACCGGGCATGCGAAGGAGTACGAGGGCTAGGCGGCTACCCGAATGGCAGAAGGACTATTTTATTTAGAATTGTTTATTGTTTAATAATAATTATTGTTATTTAGATTTTCCTAGGTGAGCATATTTATAAGCTCCTTCGATGGTTTCTTTGCGGTTCTTTACCTCGTCGCTTTTTCTTGAACCGCCAGGATAGATAACGTAGTAATTAGGGTTAAAAAGGGTTTTGCTTCTAATCACTATATAAGGTCATGTACGCCACTTGGTATGATTAAGGAATAGAATACCTAAAACCCTAATTACCTCTTCCTCTCTTTCGTGAGGTTCGGCCGTCACCAACGCCGTATCTCTTTCTCTCTCTCTTTGCCTAATTTTCTGGAGTTTGGGAGCACTCGAAGCTCTTCCTCAACCGGATACTTACGTATCAATTGTACTGGGAAAAAACTATACTAGCATTAAGATTTTGCAAATATCATACTCAAATTTAAGGTTTTGCTATCAATTTGTGATTAAAGTTCAAATTATTTATCTTTATTACTTGTTGTGATGGACTCAAGGGTATATTTTTTATTTCTTTAGAAAAAGTTAAAAACAAAAAGAAAATGAAACTCTTAAACAGGCTGTACAGCTCAATAGCAGTCGGTAGCTCACAGAGTCTAAGCCTTGACAATAATTACAAGAGAGAAAAAAACAAACGCCGGAATAAACATTTCTTTGAATTCCCCGCAAAAAAAAAACACAGTCTTTCCCACAATTCACTCCCAAGAATCGCTCCACAGATCTGTATCTCAATCACACCTAACTTTCTTTAATCTGGGCACACATAGAACAAAAAAAAAGATCTTTTTCGACCCAGATTTTCTAAATCCGTGTACCCAGAGGAATTGGTGACTTCAAGATTTGACATTGGAATATAAATGCACATTCTTTTGTAAGTGTTTTCAGAATTTTTCAAGGTTTGGGCAAGGTTGGGTGAAGAGAAGCTCATCATGATGGGTCTTTGGGAGGCGATTTGCATTGCGGCGGTGGTGGTCGGCGGCGTTGCGCGGTGGAGCACGGTGGGCGGCGTTGGAATTGAGGACGTTTTCTTCAACGAGACAGAGCTTTCTCTCATGGAATCTGTGTTTGATAGGTTTTCTACTTCAGCTGCTAAATCCAACCAGCTCTATGTTCCCATCACTTTCATTAAAGGAGCTGATCCTAAAGCAGGCACATTCTCTAATATTTATTTATTTATTTATTTATTTATTTATTTATTTGGTACTTTGATGGCTTCAGCTTATAGTTCAAGATTTCTGTGTTTAGAAAGAGCTAGCTGAGTTTTTATTTGGGGGTTAGGAATGGTATTTTTGTAATTTCGGGATGAAGTAATTATTGCCTTTTTAATATACATATAAATAGCCATAGTTCATCAGCTAGGAGTACAAAGATGTCATTTTTGCTCACAAATTCATTAATAGATTTCCTTAGGGTAGTGTTTGGAAACTAGGAATTCATTTGAAGTCTTAGATTTCAATTCTTTGAATTTTTGGCTTTTAAATTTATAAAGGAGGGTGTATGGATTTGTAACTAAGCTTTGTTGGGAAATAGAAGAATTTGGCCCAAATCCAAACATTTCGGATTCCCAAACATGTAATTTGGGTCAAATATGACCCAAATCCAAAATTTAAGTTCCCAAACATGCCATAGAGATTAGTTGTTTTATGAGAGCTGCAAATTTAGTTCTTAGTAGTCTTCTTCCTTTTGTACTGTTTGAACATTATGGATAGTCGCCAATGCTCATAGAGTGATAGTGTTGGCCGAATTTAGTCGAAAATAATTTAATCAAATAAAGTATAGGAATTACCAGAATAGTTGAATTTGCTAAAATCAGATGAACAAAAAAAACACAATATTTTAAGATCTAATTTATCATTTCTTATAACTATTTCCTCACATGATTTTGCACCATTGGTACTTTGGTGTTCCTTGGCCTGATCTGCCACTCCCCTTCTCTAAATCCACCCCTGTGTTACCATATGTAAATAATGTAAAAAGATGTCTTTTTTCCCCATTCTAAAACGGTTTTATGTGTTTTTTCTTTGTCTGCAGTGTGCTTAGATGGGAGTTTACCAGCTTATCACATTGATAGGGGGTTTGGTACTGGAGAAAAGAGTTGGATCGTTCATTTAGAGGTTTTGATCGGCACTCTTTGAATAATACTAGTCATTAATAGTCTACTATATGAGCTTTACTTTTTATGTTCAAATTCTATAAACATTTATATATTTTGCAAGAAGTTCACGAGCTCAAATATCCTCACGACCCATTTTTTTTCTAAAACAAATGTTCACGTGCTTGGCTCGAGCAAACAAATATCACTTGCACATAAAAGATAATGTATGTTAGTCTAAATCTATGTTAGTCTTAATGTATATTTTGAAATAATTGATGTGGCAGGGTGGGGGATGGTGCAACAGCATGCGTACCTGCACATACAGCAGCAAGAATACACATCATGGGTCATCGAGGTTTATGGAAAAGTGGCTCCCGTTTACAGGAATTTTGAGCAATAAAGCGGAAGAAAATCCAGGTTCTTGTGTTTGGGTTTGTAGATAAAAATATTTCCTTGACTAACTGTAAATATCTTAATTCTTTCTTAAGTCTGAAATTATTTACTTACTTTGCGGTTTCGTCATAACATGCAGATTTCTACAATTGGAACAGAGTAAAAGTTCGTTACTGCGATGGCGCTTCATTCACCGGAGACAGCGAGGTTTGTTATCTTCTCTTTCTTATGCTTCTCTCCCTATTGAGCTGTAAAGACTAGCAAACAAATATCAATGACTGTGCGTCTGTGCCCTTATCTTATTGTTAGTCAAGAATGAGAAACCATTTGGATTTCTCTTTCAAAATCTTGAAAAGATAAAGTTTTGGTTTTTACAGGCTAACGGGCTGCAGTTTAGAGGGCAACGGATATGGAAAGCAGCAATGAATGAATTGATGATGTCAAAGGGCATGCGCTATGCCAACCAAGTAATATTTTATTTGTAAACTTCCCGCTTTCCTTTTGCAAGTTAAACTTGGGACAAAGGGTGTATTAAATTATTATTATTATTATTATTATTATTATTATTATTATTATTTATTTTCATTATTATTGTTATTATTATTATTATTATTATTTCCATTTAAAAAGATTTATTCTGCTATGTTCTTTGCATAATATGGTTTTTGTTTCAGGCTCTTCTTTCTGGATGCTCAGCTGGAGGTCTTGCTGCCATATTACACTGTGATGAATTCCGCAATTTATTTCCACAAAGCACTAAAGTGAAGTGCTTGAGTGATGCCGGGCTATTCATGAATGCGTATTAATTCTTCCCCTCCCCAAGTTCTATAGAGGTTTATTCCGAGAGGGCCCACCACAAGCGCCAATAATTTTAAAATACTAACGATTTCTATTGTTTTTTCTTGAATGTGAAGGCGGGATATATCTGGTCGGCACACTCTTAGGAAATACTTTGGTGGTGTAGTAAAGCTCCAGGTATACCAGATTTACCCCTATTAGAGTTTAAAACGTATGTTTAATGGATCTTCAACAACAAGTTTGAGTTTTTGGTTGAGTTATGTTATCAAAACCTTGTTGACTAGATGTCACAGGGTCAAATCTCAATGCCACACAGAATAAAAGATAGTACAAGTGCTTATGTGCAAAGTGGAATCAACTTGCAGTTTATTTTTTATTTTTTATTTTTTTTTGCAATAGTTGAAGAACTAACGTACACGTTTGTTTCCTTTATAGGGCTCGGGAGAAAACCTGCCAAATAGTTGCAATAAAGTGAATAAACGCTCCGATCGAAACACAGTAAGTTTATTTTTTATTAAGACAAAACATAGGCTTGTAGGGGAGCAAATTTTCCACTTAGCGTCTTAGCTTATTTTTTTAATTGTGTAGATTAACCTTGAAAAACGCAAAACCTAAACCCTGTCATTAGATAGCTTTTTTAAAACTCTAAAGCTAAACGCTGAAGCTGTTGCCAAACAGGCACTTCATAAACTAATGTATGTTGCTCTCCAAGATTTCTATGTGGGGCTTCTAACATTTTTGTGCAACACCTTTTGCTTTTCCAGTGCTTCTTTCCTCAGAACGTGATTTCCAATATCAGAACACCTCTATTTATTCTCAACACGGCCTATGATTCGTGGCAGGTAACACAACTAACACAACAAGTTATTAAATCTTTCTTTCTCTCTTTTTCTTACCGAAGTAATGTTTGATACGAAATATATTCACTTTAAACCCCAGATCCAAGCCAGTTTAGCTCCTTCTTCAGCCGATCCTAATGGCACTTGGTATGCTTGCAAGTATAACCATAACAAGTGTTCTTCGTCACAGATTAATTTTTTCCAAGGTATATATTTTCTGTTGGTTGCGCGCTCAGCTTCTTGAAGTTGAGCTTTGTATGCATAGTGAGATCATCCATTCATCCATAATAAACTCTCATTGCAGGATTTAGAGCTCAAATGCTAAGGGCTACAAGAAAGTTTGCCACTTTCAGAAAAAATGGTTTGTTTATAAACTCGTGTTTTGCGCACTGCCAATCGGAGAGGCAGGATACGTGGTACGCTAATAACTCCCCAGCTATTGGTAAAAAGGTATGCTTCGGAATCGGCTGATTTCTCTGAGAGTGAGTTTGTGTTTATTAATTAGATAAAACAATATTTTGAAAATATTTTACAAGATAAATCTAATAAATTATTCTTGTATCAATAACTAATATTAATTTTATTTAATTAATGCTCAAAGTTTATCAGTGAATGACTGCAAAAAATCAAAACTGGAAAATATTCTGGGACGGAGAGATTAGTCTTTTTAGCCTCAACACAGACAATAACGGTCTATGCAAGAACTGTCTATGTGTGTTTGTGAGACACGGGTCAAACTTAAATTGAACAAAAATGATTAGCTCTAATTGCATGAGAAATCGAACTTTTTGTAGTTTTGTTATTGTATGATTCATTTCCAAATCTCGTCATAAAAACGCAGAAAATCGCACTTGCGGTTGGAGATTGGTATACAGACCGTGCAGCTGCGAAACGCATCGATTGCCCGTACCCTTGTGATAAAACATGTCACAACTTGGTGTTCAGATAAATGATTCTCCAATTTTCTTTTGTTGTTTCTCCATATATATGTTACACTTTGTACTGATTTTTTTATACCACTAACTTACAAATGTCAAAAGGGAGTCAATATAAAGAGTGAGGGCAAAAATAACCTCTGCCAATATCAAGTGTATTACAGGGTACATTTTACTTACAGGGTACATTTCATCTTCTCCTAAAGTGATGTTCTCATCCATACTAAATTTGGTGTGGTGAGGTTTGTGTTGTAATTTTTTAATTTGTTTGTTTATGAAAGAAAAATTTGGAGTGTTTTGATTGTTCTATTCAATTTCTGCTATTTGGTTTATGGGATATCATTGCTCAAAAATGCTCTGTGCACACCACATGTGCACACCAGCCACTCTCACCACACATTTTTAATAGGAATTAAAAAAATTAAAAAATAGATTAGAAATGTGTAATGTGAGAGGGATGATGTTAAAAATAGTGCACAAAGTGGTGCACCTAAGCACCACTCTTCATTGGTACACTGAATTTTATGGCAAATTATATGGTACAAAAGTATATATTGTACATCATGACAAAATTGTAATTAAAAAAAGTTTTACAAATAAACACTACGTTGTTTCAGAGTAAGCATTATGTTGTTTCAGAATGAACACTGCGTTCTTTGAGATTGAACACTACGCTGAATAGACTTGGGATGAACACTATGTTTTAAAATAACACTATGTTGTTTGTAAATGAATATTATAATTGTAATGAACAAAAGTGTGAAAATGAATATTACAACGTTATTTCAAAATGAACACTACGTTTAGACCCGATAATCCAACCAATCGACTTGGTTCCGATTTGGATCTTTTTGGTCTGGGTCTCTTTGAGATATATGTTATAATCAGTTCGGTTCGGTTTCGGTTAAACTTTGTTTGATATTTTTCAGGTTTTGGTTCGGCTTCGATTTAGGTTTATATCGGTTTGGGTTTATACTGATTTGGATTTATATATTGGTTCGGCTTTATGCTGATTTTGGATGAAATTTCTTGGTATTAGGTTTCATTCTCCAAAAGGTGAAATCGCTCACCTCGGGCGCCCCTCACCCCCGACCCGACGGGAATTGAGAGGAGGTAAATCACGGTGACCCAAGCACAACACTTAGCTAGACCATATCCTAGTGCGCACCAGAGACTCCCCCCATTTTTCAGAGGTGGTCGCCCCCACAACGGTCGCTGCCATGTTTTGATCCTTGGTCATTCTCCAAACTTCACCAAGTGCTTGCCACTTGGGCTACCCGTGCGGGTTTCATAACGTTAGTCTTGTGTGTAGCCTCCCCTCCCTGTATGTAAAGTCCCATGAATTAAAAATAATTTTAATCAAATCTCTTAAACAACAATAGACGATTTAAATTAGGACAATAAGAATACAATATTAATACTTCCTCCTTCGCCCGGTTAAATTTACACATTTTTTTCATCTCTTCTGAAATGAAATATGTAATTTTCTACTTTCTTTTTTAAGCGTAGAGTATTTGATTCTTAACCATTCTTTATATCTTTAAACAAATCTTAACGATACATTTTTTACTTTTAAATCATTCGAAGTGAAATCATATGCTCTGTATTTAATTAAGGGAAAAAGCTAGGGAGTAATTGAATATACCTCTTTCGTCCTAAAATGATCTTCTCAGTTTGGTTAATTATGTTTGATTGAAATTATTTTCAATTCAATGTATTTGATTATAGATGTTAAATTCAAAAAATAAAATTATATATTTCAAAACAACATCAAAAGTTCAACAAAATAAGAGGTCACATGATTATATTATTTAAATATATAACTAACAAAAATAGGTAAAAAAGTGATTAAAACTTGACCATTTAAATAGACACTGTGAACATTTTTGGCCGGATGGAATAGTTAAATGAAATTTATATTTCCAATTCAAAAAGTACATAAAAAATCTTGCAAAATAACATGCGACAAGATAATACCATTTTCTTAATCAAGTAGTGTAAATTGACAATGAAAGATTTCAAAATTTGACTACGATCGCGTTTGGCATGTACGTTAAAGGTTAACGTTAGCGCTTTGAAAAAGCTATCTAACGAAAGCCTTTAGCATTTTTTGAATTAATCTACTCCCTCCGTCCCTGAAAACCTTTCTCTTTTCTTTTTTCATCCGTCCCAAAAAACACTTCTTATTTCTATTAAAAAGTCACTTTTACCCCTTACTTTTTCATACCATACCTATCACATCATACCTTTAACTAATAATTTATCCATCAAATCATACTTTTACTCATCACATCAAAGGACATTTTTAGAAATTTAATACCAAAATATACTCCCCTTGAATCCCTCTTTAAAATCAAAACTACCATGTTTTCCGGGACGGAGGGAGTACATTATTAAAAATTTTATCCAAACACTAACTCTAATAACAAACGTTATATCCAAACGAGTCCTATATCAGTAATAAATAAGAAATTTTTTAGACACAGAGGAAATACATCGTACTTCAAAACCCAATGGATTAAGCAATATGTAGACGAAAACTTGTATCCTGTTTTGTACCCCAAAGTCATGTACCGATATTTTGTGCTAGTGTAATGGTTTACATTGACAAAAAATATCAGTGTAAATTTTTTAAGTAAACTAATATTTTATAACAGTATAAATCGTTAAATATTAGTCCATTTCTTTGAGGTAAAATTTAGTGTACACTTTTTGGTGTACCCCGTTGAAACCAGTACATACCAAACAAGGCATTGACTCACCAGGCTTCTTTGGATCATAAAATCGTACAGTACAATAACTCACAGGCTGGCAGGCATTATTTGTTTAATTTAATTTGACATTAATTAAGACAATGGGTTGAGTATAAGTTGAAGGAATTAATTGTTTTTTTAGTTACTCCGTACATGATAATAATTCAACCCATTATTAATCTTACTTCTTCCTTCCCAATTTAAATTATTTGTTTCGATTTACAATATTTGATTGAAGTTATTTTCAAATTATGTTATATGAAAAAATGACGTAAAATTTAAAAATAAAATTACATATTTACTTGACAATATTAATGACTAATTAAAATAGAAAAAAAGTAAATAAAGTTTGATCATATGAATAGTACATATGTAACTTAATTTGGGACGGATGAGGTATTTATTATTTATTATTACTTCGTACTATAATACTATTATTATTATTATTGCTACTATTATTATTATTATTATTATATTATTATTATTATTATTATTATTATTATTATTATTATTATTATTATTATTATTATTATTATTATTATTATTATTATTATTATAGCTGTTTAAATACAGTATTATATGATCCATACATACAAATGTGTGAATTTATTTATACCCAGCGTGATGGCCCAATAGAAATCAAATCTGGTAGGTTTCCCCATTTGGACTTCACAAGTCACAACGAATATTGAGGAACATATATACAAAATATTATGAATGTATATACTCATGATTACGGATGGATCCATGAATTCAATTAAATATAGGTTCTTTTTCACAAAACTTATCTAAACTGAACCAAATCTAATTAAAATGAGCCAAATGTTTTCTTCTTCTTCTTATTTTTTTTCTTTTTTTTTTTGTATAGGAAATGAGCCAAAACTGTTAGTTATAACTACGTGTAATTTTAATTGAAAAATACTCTATCAATTTCATAAAATAATTCTGCTCTAATTTTTTGCACATCCTACAAATTAAAATATTTTTACTCACATAAAATATCTAAAATATTTCCAAAATAACTTCTACTTGTAGTAAAAAGGAAATGAAATATATTCACGAGGATTTCAGGTGAGCTTAAAAGTGTATTGTGGGATGCGCAAAAAAGTAAGGCGGAATTGTTTTCTGAAACGGAGGGAGTAAAAAACTAAATTTTCATCAAGTGAACAAAATTGAACTGAATTAAATTATCTGGACTGAATTGAATTTCTTCGGTAAGAAAATTAGAAGAGTAAAACAAAAAAATATAATTATACTTAATGCCTCCAAGTGCCTTTAGTTTTAAAAAAAATTAGGTATTATGCTCTCTATTATTTTATTTCAAAAATCTCTTATCGATTACTCCCTTCGTCCCAAATTATTTGTCACATTTGCTTTTTCAACAGTCGCGGAAATTTTTATTTATTTCTACGTTTTCATTGGTTATTTGATAAAATAAAATATTCTTGACACCTCTTATTTCGAAGAACTTTTCATGTAGTTTTTTTATATGTATTGGTAATTTTTATTTTTTATTTCTTTATCAATATGTAAATAAAATGAATTAAAAAAATTTTATATTTTGCCTCGGTAATAGAAATGGGACAAATAATTTGGGACGGAGGGAGTATAAGAATCGTTTGGCTTTGATATAAATTTATTTTACTTGTTACTCCGTATAAAAAAACGAATAGATTATTATACTAAAACATGCTAGTTATTACTCCGTAAAAGGATGAACCTCACTCCATAGTCCCTATGGCAGGTCCATATAACGCCATGTGGGGTGCACGACGGGAAAGGGGAAGGGGAAGCCTGCTGGTGCGAGAAGGAAAGGGGAACACCGNAGGGAATTGAAGGCGACTAAAATGTGACTAATTCTTCATGTTTTTTTTTCCATAAAATCCTACTCTCATGAGATCCAACTAGCTAGGTTGTTGGGTTGTTGTATATAACATCCTTCTGAACCGTTATTTTAGCTGACCGGAGCTGATCTCTATTCCCGGTGTTTGGTCTAACCAAAAATTGAAACAGAAATGGACAATATAAAAAGCTGGCATCGTAATATATAGACTATATTGACTACTCTATTTCACATGAGTATTAGCATTGTTCGTACGGATTGGGTTAAACTGCACACTATAATGAAGAACAGAGCCCAAGTATCTAAATCTAAAAACACGTGCTTTAAATTGATTGAGAAGACCCCAAGTCTTCTATAGGTCAAGAACTATATATGCATGACCTAGCAATAATCTACTCAATATGAATAGTGTACCAAGGTCTTGAGTTGAATTAAGTAATCAGTTATATTTAATCTTTTAAATTTTTGAATTTAACTAAGTAACGTCTCATTCCGTTCAACTTATTTTTTCTTATTTTTTCTTATTCTTATTAAAATCAGATCAGATCAGACCAGACCAGATCAGATCCAATCAGATCAGACCTGATCAGATCCAATCAGATCAGATCAGATCCAATCAGATCAGATTGGATCAGATCAGATCCAATCAAATCAGATCAGACCAGATCTGATCAGAACTTATTAAAATCAGATCAGACCAGAAAAAATAAGTTGAACGGAACGGAGCCTAATTAGTTTTTATGCTCTAGACTTGAACTAGGTATTCGATTGAATTCAATCTTTTAAAATAGTTCAACTGAAGTCTCTTATGGCCCAGTCTATTGATCCTTACCTCATCCTAAATTTTATCATGATATTGGAGTCAGTTTTAGCCCACCTCGTTTGTTAAGGTGCCCGTCTAGACCTCCATTCCGCGTGGAATGTAAATTCAACGACCTGTGGCTCGTTTAACCCAATTGCTTGTATGAAAGTCTATACCCAGCGGTTTGTGGTCCTTTAGGTATTGATGCAAAAAAAAATTAAGGGGATGAAAATGCATTTACAAGTAGTCAACCGATTAGATTCAAAATGGTCTGGTTGTCCACTCCAGGGGAGTGTTAGAGTGTATCTCACCCTGAAAAAGTGGTAAGAAAATAATCGGCATTTAAGCTAAGGAATTGAAAGAAGTAATCGATGGATTCAATCTTTTAATATAGTTCAATTCAAGTGTTTTATGACCCAGTCCAGTGATCCTTAGCTTACCCCATCCAAAGATTACTACCTCCATCTCGGAGTATTTCTCTAGTTTTGACTTTTTTCAGTTAACCGTTTTCAACCTTTGACTAATAACTAACAACAACAACAACAACAACAACCCAGTTAAATCCCACAAGAGTAGGGTCTGGGGAGAGTGTGTGTACGCAGACCTTGCCCCTACTTGAAAGTAGAGAGGCTGTTTCCAAAGAGACCCCCGGCTCAACGTCGAAAGTTGCATTGCTTGACTAACTGCTACTTCATTAATTAAAGAAGCGCAGACAGTTTAGAGATCTATTTTGATTTATTTCATCACACCCCAAAGCCAAAAAAGGGTGAAATTTTGGCTCCATCGGAGATGATGGAATTTTGACTAATAACTAAATGAAATATATATTGTATTTTAATTTGATAAAATAATATTTTGAAAATATTTTATATAAGAAATCTAATAAAACTATTTTGTATCAATATTTAATATCATTTTTATTCAATTTGGGGTCAAAGTTTATCAATTTTGACAGAGAAAAGTCAAAAGTGGTCAAATACTCTGAACGGAGGGAGTATATCAATGTTTTTTCTCTAACTTTATTTAGTTTTTAAAACATAATTTTATTTTTTAATTCTTCAATTTTTTTAAATATATTGAATAAAAAATAATCTCTATAAAAATGTAAATTTAAATAAGTCTTGGAACTACAAAAAATGATAAAAACATGCTTCTCATTCCAAATTAAAATAAGACTTTGAATGTTTTGTACCAAAAAAATCTAGAAATAATAGTGAAATGTGTCAATATATAATGTCAAAAAACACTGTGAAATATGAACACATAATGCCAAATTTTTATGCCCTCGGCGGTCCTATTTAGAGGATAAAAACGTATATAAGCCTTTTTATTTTTAATATAATTTTAATATTTCAGTCTAATTTAAATTAGATTTTCTTTTAAATTTTAAAATGAAAGAAGTATGATTCAACATTGACATTTGACGAGAAGGGCTCACAAAGATGTGGATTGCTAGGTTGGCAACGATTTGTGTTTTGAAGTGAGGGATGGACAATTTATATCTTTTCAATTTTCAACAAGAGATTGAAGACGACGTTAGTTCGTACGGCGGCCGGAGTCGACCAAACTACTGCGGTAGTAAATTTTCAAAAATGATTTTCTAATACCAAAATGGTGAGATCACTTTGACCTCAAATATTACTCCCTCCGTTCTAAGTATTTGTCTACTTTTAACTTTTTTTGGTCAAAATTGTTAAACTTTGATCTCAAATTAAGTAAAAATAATATTATATATTTATAGAAAAATAGTTTTATTAGATTTATTATATCAAATATTTTCAAAATATTATTTTGTCTAATTAGTATACAATTTATATTTTATTTAGTTACAGGTCAAAGGTTGAAAAAAGTTGACCGATTCATGGACGGAGGTAGTACATAAATAATGAAAGGAGAATTTACCTAAATAATACTAAAACATAGTGATTTTACTAATGTAGTACTATATATTTTTATTTTTCCAATGTAGTACCACTTATTATTATCCACTAGTCATTGTTCAAGTAAATATCTACCGCCATTGGACATTGTTCAAACTAAATATCTACCATTACGGGACATTGTTCTCGCCATTAGAAACTATTCGAATTAAATCTTTTGCCAAATGAGCTACAAAAGTTCAAAAAATATTTATATGCAAGCACATGAAAATTGCGAGAAGGTCCACATGCAAGCCCATTAAATGTGGATCTTGCGACCATGTAAGCATCACTCTTATTAATGTAGGAGCAACACCTAAAAGATCACGAGTTACTGAGTACATATATCTGAACAAACAATCGTGTAAAAGTGGGTGATAAACTGCTAGATATATATTTCATACGGATAATTGGGTTAAACAGGTTGTTAGAAATGAATTTTTTAGATGAATATTTTGACATTCAGAGTAGTCCCAAACTAGATTTGATGATATGAATGAATTTAGGACATGATAGAGATCACAAAACCTGACATAAGACATTGACATGAGCCATATTAAAAGATTAAATATATATAATTGGTAATCTAGTCACGTTAACCCCAAAAGCTTATAAGCTCATAGCGTTTTTCTTCAACTTCTGATGTGTGACTCTAGCAGTCATGTTTTTTAAAGAAAAATTTAAAATGTGATGTTTCTTCTCGAAACATCTAAATAAAAAATACAATCTTTTTTTGTGGCTCAAATTTCATGTTTGTGAACCTTAAAAAAATTGATTTGGATTTGAGACATTATTTTAATTCATAACAAAGCTCAATTTGAAATTCATATAACTTTGTTTGGCATTTGAAATTTAAAAATTCAAATTTCAAAATTCAAATTTACTCCCTCCGTTCTCAAAAAGACTTCCTCTTTCATTTTTTCCACTTCCAACAAAACACTTCCCCTTTCAATTAAAAAACCACTTTTACCCTTACTTTTTCATACCCTACCTATCACATCATACTTTTTCTCTAATAATCTATCCATCAGATCTTACTTTTACCCATCACATCAGGGGCAAAATTGGAAATCAACTATAATTTAACACTTCCTTATTTTGCCCCAAATCAAAATGGGAAGTTTTTTTTGCAAACGGAGGGAGTAAGAATTAAAATGAATTGTTAGTTTTTAAACATGAGAAATGCTAAAGTCACAAAAACTACGGTCACAAAATACACAAATTTTCCATTTGTGCACCTCACCAAGTGAATAAAATTAAATAATGATAAATAATTAAAAAGTAGACATTTAAATACATAAATAGTAAGTTTGTGTATTTTGTGACCAAAATGTTTGTGACTCTAGCACATCTCTTTAAACATTATCTAAAAAATTACACGTGGTCTTTATTTATTCGTGCTAACCGAAATACACACTAAATATTCTCAGCAAGTCTTTCTGGTTGTTGGCCGTTTGCCAGCCCTTCCGGTGAAGTATAATGATAACTGATAAGCTTCCCATATAATGATATGCAAAAAATGCAAGATAGGAAATTTTGATGCTATTGTTTGGGCCATGCTTATTATATACGTTTTCCGTTTGTAAAATTGATAGTTTATATCCTGTTTTCAAAACCCATCTCCACCCAGCCAACCTTTAAAATGCCGGTTGGTTTTCGATGCAACTATAGCTGATTGTGGCACCAACCGAGAGGGTAGGGAACAAATGTGAAGGTTTAGAGAGTTAAAAAGGTAGGGAAATATCAATTTTATAAATAAAACACAGTAAGTGTTCTGTGTCATATCTCACTCGAATCAAGAAAAAATAATCCTAAGTATTCAAGAAAAGAGATGATGCGACAATTTTTTAAGGAGAAGATCCGAGGTATACAATTTTTAATGGGGTGCATGTGAGGCGTAACTTAACGATTAGTATAAGGAGTTACAAGGGAGAGATTTCGATTTTGACGTCTGGTGTTTGTAATGAGGGGCACGAAATCCTCCATTTACGCTAAGTGACCGACATTATAGCTCATTTATCATTTTCTTAGCTAATTGTTTAGTCGGTGTTGACAGTAGAGGAATCCTTAGAAATGAGTGTCATCTTTTATACTCCCTCCGTCCTAGAAATATGTGCCTATTTCATTTTTTGCACATCCTATAAAACATTCCTACTTACGTCTAAAATGTCTAAAATTTAGTCCATTTCTCATTTACTGTGGGTAGAATTTGTTTTGAGGATAGAAGTATTTTATGAGATGCGCAAAAAATGAAATATGAATATATTTTAGGGATGGAGAGAGTAAAAAAATACTCCCTCCGTCCTGAAATGTTCTTTCCACTTACTATTCACACGGTCAAATTTTAATCACTTTCTTTACCTATTTTCATTAGGTATTTGATAAAATAATATAGTCTTGTCTCCACTTGTTTTGTAGAACTTTTGATGTAATTTTTAAATATATAAATTTTATTTTTTAATTTTATACCTACAATCAAATAAATTGAATTAATAATAAAGTCGATCAAACTTCGTAAACAGAACCGGGAAGAACATTATAGGACGGAGGGAGTAGCTGTGTATGCACGTGGGAGGATTCTTGCTCGAAGTGGGCCCTACCAAACATGGATCACTACTAGGGCCTCGTTTGATTCCCAAATCCTTCATTAAAGTGATCCTTACAAATTCTAAGCCTAACTCCAACTCATAAATCATAATATACGGAGTACTTCTTTCTGTAAAAATAAAAGTGTTGTGGACTAGTGGTCCACTAAGGTCATGGTTACATTATGAAATGAAAGTTACAAATTCAGATTTGAAAGAATTGTTTCGGAATCAAAATCTTTGTATTCCTTTATGTTTTACAATTTACAATCCAGCTGTATATATAGCAAAGAGTCCTAATTAACAAAGGAAAAGGAATCTCTATACAAGGCAACTACCATAACTAATATATACGGAAATAAATACTAATAAATGCTAAATATTCTCTTTCCTCCTTTACACCCCCCCTCAAATTGGAGCATGTAATGCTGAAATGCCCAACTTGGGAATAAGAAACTTCATGCGTGACTTTCCAAGTGCCTTTGTGTGAATATCTGCAACCTGATGTGTCATAGGCACATGAAGAGCACGAATTTCTCCTCGTAAAAGCTCATCACGAACGAAATGACAATCAATCTCAATATGCTTCGTTCGTTCGTGAAAAACCGGATTAGCAGCAATATGAAGTGCTGCGGTGCTGTCACAACGTACGATCATAGGAGTCCTATGATCAACCCCCAAGCATCTCAACAAATTCTTCAACCACTTCAGCTCACAGGTAAGAACAGCGAGAGCCCTGTACTCTGCCTCAGCAGACGAACGAGCCACCGTTGTCTGCTTCTTTATCTTCCATGAAACCGGCGATTCCCCAAGTTGCACGAACCAGCCTGTCAACGATCGCCGGGTCAAAGGACATGCTGCCCAGTCCGAATCACACCATCCCGTAAGCTGAAGGCTACTATCTGCAGAGAGTAAAATGCCCTGTCCAGGACACCCTTTCAAGTAACGAACCACCCCAAGCGCTGCAGACCACTGATCCTCCCTTGGTTCTTTCAAAAACTGTGCCAAAGTATGTACGGCGTAGGAGAGCTCAGGTCGAGTAACAGAGAGATAGACCAATCTTCCTACTAGCCGTCGATACGGTTCCGGATCTGCAAGGACAGGAGCTTGGGAACGAGCCAAGTGATGATTTGGCTCCATCGGGGCACCCAATGGTCTGGCACCTAACAGCCCCACCTCAGTAATGATATCTAAAGCGTACTTTCGTTGGCAGAGAAAAATTCCAGATGTACTTCGTGCTACCTCGATGCCAAGAAAGAACTTCGGAGTCCCCAAATCCTTCATCCGAAAACAATCTGCTAAATATTCCTTGAACTTGTGTATCATCTCAGTACTATCACCCGCAATGATCAAATCATCTACATAGACTAGAACATGAATTACTCCTTTCTTTCCAACAAAAGAAAATAAAGAGTAATCGGAAACAGACTGCATAAATCCATATCGTCTCAATGCCCCAGACAAGTTTGCAAACCAACATCTTGGAGCCTGTTTCAAGCCATACAAAGACTTCTTGAGTTTGCACACCATATTGGACGAACTCGAAAAACCAGGTGGCAACCTCATATACACCTCATCCGGAAGATCTCCATGCAGGAATGCATTGTGAACATCCATCTGATGCAATTCCCATCCCTTAACTGCTGCGACTGCTAAAAGAGTGCGCACGGTGGTCAACTTGACCACAGGAGCAAAAGTTTCTTTGTAGTCAATACCTTCAACCTGGTGATTACCAAGTATAACAAGCCGAGCCTTGTATCTCTCTATACTGCCATCAGACTTGCGCTTGATTTTATATACCCACTTGCATCCAAGAGCCTTTTTATGACGTGGAGGACTAACAAGAGACCACGTACCATTGGCTTCCAACGCATCAATTTCTTCTCGCATGGCCTTCC